GAACTCCGATCTGTAGTCATTCAAATTTGGGCCGCATAGCTCTGTTTGTATGTAAAGACGTCCTCTGAAAATGAATCTTGAAAATGCTGAACAACAGACGTCATTAATCACGTCTTACCTCTCTTCCCAAGCTTTTTCAAATCGTATAATGTTTGGATGGGGAGTGACTGATTCATGGGTTATTACTTCTAGTAATTGACGATGCCGTTTTCCAGAAGATTCGAATGTTCGTAGAGCTTTTTTGATGGCAAACCTTTTCCCTGTTTCCAGACATTTTACATCCAAGACCTAAAGAGTACACTGTATTCATGCATTGAAAGAAGGTCTTTTGAAGTGGATTTTTGAGTGCAAGAACTACAACTCACTTCAATCCAAAAATGATTAAGGGAATATATTTAGAGTGGAGAAATCATGATGATAATGTATGTGTAGAAGTTTTAGATGGTCCAAAAAACGATAAGAGCTGCCCGCTTCTACTTTGTGGTGATCTCTCCACAAAGTAGAAGTGGTATCAAAAATATCTATTTTGATAACTAGTAGTTATGAACTTACTTGACCAAATGATCCATTTCCGAGGACCTTGATAACTTCGAAACATTGTTCCATATAGGTTTTCGTTTTTGAAAATCTGTACATTGGACTGAGATCTAAAGCACAACATCTTAACGAGGAGACTCGGTATTGGGGAAAATCATGATAAAAGATGAAAGAAATGGATTACAAAAAATTCGTAGAAGAAATTTCATACGTGTTCGCAAAGGTGATTTCATCCCTGATATTTGGTGCGGTCTCATTACAGGAAAACCTGGCGGGTAAACTCTTCCAGATGATCTTGTGGTTCTAGTAACAGCAACCCGTGATAGAGGATGCATCTAAAACAAGTAGTGCCAAGAATTTTTTTTAAAAATTGCAACGTAAGGGGAATTGTCTTACATTCCGCTCTTGATGATCCCTCTTTACTTCACCACATTCCATTTTCGAATAGCAAAAGGTTGTAACAGCGATTCCTATATAATTTATCTGAAAATTCATTTAAATAATAGCACATATTAGTAAAAAGACAATGTAAACTAAAGGAACATGGATAAGCAGAGTGGACTATCGTAGGAGATAGGTAACATAATTTAGAGGTCACCGCAGGCAGGACGCTTTGGCACCTACAGTACTAATTCACACATACTCTGTGACAT